AGCTTCCAAACGGAAATCTGCTTTTAATTGCCATTTTTAATCGATTATCCATGAAGAAGAAGTCTATTTTTAACTAAGCTTACATTCTCATGTTCATCTGTTCATAGAATCATAAGCAATGACCGAAGATAGCTCTCGCAAATACAGGCGGCTTAATTTGGGTTCCAACTGAAAGCCATTAGTCTTGTCGATTTCGATAGGGTTTATAGCACATCGATCTGGTTAATCTGATGAATTGAAATCGATCCGCAACTTTTATGCTAAGTGGTTGTACGAAATCGGAAATTCATGCTGATTCAATGCCACGTACTTATTAAACTGAAGCGCCATAAAGCCCGCCGACACAGCTTCCAACAACGCTCTCTGCAAGACATCCCCAAAGTGCGATGGTAGGCGCTGACGACCTCTGGCCTGAAAAAGCTATCAAATGAACTCACAGCCCAGCGCCTGGTTTGATGAAATAGCTGAAGAAACTAATAGACATATATTCAAAGCCTTTCTCCTCTAAGAACAGCGGAATGGACACCGACGCGCCGCTTAACAATGTAAAACGTGGAAATCCTCGTTGAGGCAAACCTACTTGCGGAGAAAAATATAAACTTTGCTACAGTAGTGATCTTTGCCTACCATCAATCTGAGGTACAATTTCTAACGGTCAGACACCATCAATCTGCGTTGTTCTGCAGTTTAAACTCTGCTATCCTCAGACAACGATTGAAAACCACAACAATCTATTAAATTGTTTTTTGGTACAATTCTCCAACAACTTCTTTCTAACACCTTTCATAGAGTATTCATGGGAGTCTCATTAAGGTAATACCTGAATAATTGGAGAATACTCTATTGTCTCCCTTCTTGAACAAAGGCACTACAGCTTCCTTTCTCCAGCCCACTGGTACCTTCCTATAGCCATTGTAGTTTGGCAGACACGCGTTAGTTACAACGTGCCTTCTTAGCTTAAGGCTATAAACTTTTCATAGTAGATTTCATCGATTCCAATGGTTTTGTTACTTCCAAGCAGTGACAGCTTTGGAGACTTCATCTACTGAAAGACTGATGTCTGGTGCTGATGCCTCATTCAAGCAGCATCTTACAAGTGTTCGACAAGAAGCAACCAGAATAAGTGGGGAGAACCTCATGAAACGAGTTCGAGCACCTGGAACTCAGAGTCTTTTCTAAACCAACTGGTTACTGTAACGGTCAACCTTTCAGCAAGATTGCGAGTGAGACTTTCCTTTCATCGGTATGTGGTTGGCAGAGCGTCTCTTCGATGGCAATTAGATGAATCGGTCATCAGCTGAGCAGAGATGAATAAGAATCGTAGAAAAAGAAGTTTATGGTAAAGTCTTAAAGAAACCTTCGTACAGCACTGAACTAATACGGGCTGACGATCATGAGAGTCTACAGTTCATACGTAATATTTCAGTTCATATGGGCATCGTTTT